CCTTTTCTACCTCCCTTCTTCCTCCTCTGGTCACCTTTCCCCCACCTTCCTTTCCCTTCCCTCCTTCCCCCTGCTGCTTGCACCGTTCGGGTAGCAGGGGGGAAGGCTCCATACCACACATCACCTCAACAGCTTCTGTACCCCGGGCAGGGTTTTTAATTTTGGGATTCATCCGTGAAATGGGGAGGTTGCCAAGTCTAGATAGGTGCCCCTCGCCTGTAAACGGTAAGGCGATGCCCTCCATAATGGCGTCTCCCTTTGCCAAAAAAACCCCCCCCTTTAAACCCCGTGAAAATCACTTCGATCTGAAACATTCAAAAATAAAAATCTGACTCCATATCCTTTCCAATTTAATAATTCTACGTGTTTGACTGATAAAAGAGATACAGGAAGTTTTAGCACCGAGGAATGGAGGGTTGTTGGTTTAAATAAGCGAAGCCGAAGTCGAGGTTGGGTTAATGAAGGGGGGGCCGGGGGGGGGGCGGAAAAAGCAGTGTGGGTGCGGGGTCTTGCATTTGTGACCAACGATTTGGGAAAAAGGGGAGGGGAAGAGTTAGGGTTTTTTTGGGAGCCATCAAAAAATTGCGCTTCTGTATTTTGCGAGGTCTGGTGAAAACTGGAAAGGGGTTACTTATTTGTAAGACTCTTTTTTCTCTCTCTAATAACTTCTTTTCTCTCTCTCCTCTCCTCCTCTCTAATAACTTACTTTCTCTCTCTCTCTCTCTCTTTTCTCTCTCTCCCCCTTCTCTCTCTCCTCTCTCTCTCTTCCCCCTCTTTTTTTTCTTCCCTCTCTTTCTGATGCTGTTTTAAAACTTTTCTGGGGTCCAAAAATTTAATTTTTTTCATTTCATTTTTACATCAAAATGACAATTTAGTGAAAACAACGTCTAAAACCACAGATTTTAATCGCCTCAAACGTGACCCTAAAATAGCCAGTAACACATTCACATACGGCCAAACACCCTCATGACTTTTCCCTGTCTCCGTTGGAAAAGTCCGGGCCTTTTAACGCTAAAAGACTAAATGCGTAACTGAGAGGGACGGTGATGCATCCTGCTGCGGGTCAGGTGATGGGACAATCACGGCCATAAAACATCTGCCATAATGTATACTATGTAATGCATTTCCTTGTAGCTAGTAATATGTGTATTATTTGTGTAGGCTCTAATATACCCTTATTACATTTCAGTTATTGTATTTTAATTTTGTATGTGTATCCGTGTTGATAATTAACTTTGAGCATTTTGTTGAACTTCATTTACTCGTAGTTTATTCATATATATAAATATATATATAGTATATAAGATATATATATCTATAATATATATATATATATATATATAATATATAAATATATATATATATATATGCAAAACAACGCACTCTGAAAGAGATAAGTAATTCCAAGCGCTTTCGTGACTAAACACAGAGTTCCTTGATAATGTGAGTAGTCACGAAAGCGCTTGGAATTTCTCTATTCTTTCAGAGTGTTGTTTTGCATATTTTTGAAATCACCTGTTTTTACTGATGATCTTATTGCATATATATATATATATATATATATATATATATATATATATAATATATATATATATATATATATATATATATATATATATATAATATGTCTGTCGATTTTGGCTTAAATAGCAACGTTCTTCTTGCCGAATGAGGCAAGTGAAAATTTGTGTACGCAATAATTCCGCAAAAATCAGTCTGAACCTAACAAACAAAATATATTTCATTGTGTTTGTTTATTATTAAATTACTCTCAACTTATCTAAAGTATGTTTAGTTAGATTAGGCTAAATTAAATTGCGCTTGTTATAATAAGGTTATGTAAGTTGTCTAAGTTTTTTTTTGTTACAAAATTATTAATTTTTACATTACCATAAATATATCTTTAAACGTACAAGAGAAAATTTTAGAAAGGACTTAATTTTAAATGAATTCTTGCAAACTGACCAGTTTTACCTATTCTGCAGGATATATATATATATACATCACACGCTCTACATGTGCACATATTCCTCCCATAACACCGTGGAGGAAAAATATTGGACAGCATAAAACTCAAAGTAGCAGACATATTGGGCCTTTATTCGTTTGCTATTTTTTTTTGAGCAGTTGTCCCTGTGAGCCAACATCACCAGCACTACCACACTACGATTGAAAATAGTTGACGAGGAGAGAGAAGGCATGTTTATGGAATAAGCTTTCCTGTTTGGGTCCAACATTTCGATCCGTGTAGAGGCTTTACTTATCAAGTCAAGCTCTGCCGAGTGAGATGTTGTCTCGGTAAATGTTTGTTCAGCAAATGTTTGTTTTCACTAACATTTGTTGTTATTTGCTAGGTAATTAAATCATGAATATTACTAGTAATTCAGCTGTACCCGAGTAAATATAATGAAGTATGTCACTGTTTGAAAGTAGTTGATTATTAACTGGAAGTTCTATCGACTGTAAGAGAAATGTTAAATCTACATATTACTGGTATACCACCAAAAGATACTTTATCCATTAAAACAGAGATATAACAAACTTTGTTCCATATACACTACCCTCATATACGTCCCCACAGTTTTTGGGGATATTGTATGAAATATGATTCTTACATGATGTAAATAATTTAAACGGCAAACATACGTAAATATACAAAAAAAAATATTGTGGATACCATAATTATGTTATCTTGGTATATTATTCCTAATCGATTCCACAATCTTGTATATGAAGAGACATCGGTCAGAGATGGCCATTCTCGATTTACGGAAAAGACTCCAGTTCTGCTGGAAGGAAGCCTATGAGGCTGCCATACTGCTGAACCCATATGGAATGCTTTGAACGATAACCCCATCGCACGTACTGAATTCTAAATAACTCAGCCTGATCAGCTTTCATTACCAGTGTGACGGATATGACAGGGAACCCATAACTTCTTCCTGTTCACAACCAATTAACTCTCATTTAAGATGTAGCCCGTTTAAAAAAATGTGTTCTTTTCTCTCATCCTCTCTCTCTCTCTCCTTCATCGTCTCACTCTCTCTCTCTCAGATCTCTCACTCCTCACTCTCTCTCTCCCTCTCTCTTCATCTTCTCTCTCTGTCTCATCTTCTTCCGTTCACGGCCTCCGTTCTCGTCTCTCTCTCTCTCTCTTGCCTGTTAGTTTTGGGGGCTGGTAGGTGTGTAAAAGAGTAGCTGCCGTGGTAATGGCCTTACTTTCTCTCGCCCATACTCTGTGTCTCTGAAAGTTGAGTAAATTTAGATGGTTTGTTGGTGCTAGTGGGAGGTCGACCTCCACTAAAGGGTCAAGATTTCACAACAACAAAATAAAAAAATTGGAAGGTGGGTTTTGGAGGAAAAACCACCCGGGGAGGTGCTATCACCTGTCATACGAATTTTTGAAACGGAAACCTGTCAAGTCTCTGTTTTTAACTCTTGACAAAATTGCTGGTCTTTTCTGTCTCATAATTGGATGGTTAGTTGAGCTTAGGATCTGCAGACTACACAAGGGGTCGTTAAGGATGCATTTAACCTATCTTTTCCTTTCCTGACAAAACCAAATCCACCCACCATGTAACCGTTCACCCTATCAAGAATTAATTCCTAAAACGGAAAGAAATACAACGTCTCAGGTTTATATACAGTGAGAGACATTCACCTCTCGGTATATACATCCTTGTGTGTCTCATAAACACGCAGGATGACAGGAAGAGTGGTTTGCAAAATCTACTTTTGGAAAATTTTGAAAAACAACGCAAATGGTTGGGGGAAAGAATTGGAATAGATACAAAAAAAATGAAAAGGGTACAAAAAAAAAATAAATGAAAGTGAAATAGATAAAAGTAAGGGTAAAAAAGAACATTTAGGTAAGAACTTTTGGCTATTAATGGGCGGGGTTTTTGGGCATCTGACCGAGGCCTCCCGCGGTTTTACCCCTCCACCCCCTTTTAAAAATTTAAAAATTGGGCAGAAATAATAGTGACTTTACACGTAACAAAAATTTTTACTAGCATGTAAATCTCAAAAACCCTCTTTTACTGTAAAATGCCATCTTTATATCAAAAATTTGTATCTCCTAAATCTTTTTTTACCGTATTTGTAATTTAAAAAAAATATACCAAAATTTGGTAAAAAAAAATGAAAAGATGGGGGGGGTGGGGTTTAAGGGGGAAATTTTCAAAATGGCTTCAGAAAAAAAAATCCAAATATTTTTCCCCTTGAACCCTTTTGCCTTTTTATCCCCACTTAATTTATATATTATATTTTAAAATAAAAAATTATATATATATATATATATATATATATATTATATATATATATATATATATTTATATATTAACTGGTTACCCCCGGGAAAACACTGAAGACTTTTTTAAAAAAGCAAAACTTTTCGTCAGTAAAATATCTTAACACTGAATATTTTTCATATTCCAGTAATACCCCCTGTTATCCCTTAAAAAGGGGGGAAATACCTTCAAGGGGGATTTTCTTCAAGGGGGATCCCTTTTAAAGGGGGGGGAACCCCTTTTCAAGGGGGATACCTTCAAAGGGGGATATCTTAAAGGGGGAAAAACCCTTAAAAGGGGGGAAATATCTTCAAGGGGGATACCTTCAAGGGAAATTCCTTCAAGGGGGATATCTTAAAGGGGGGTTTACCTTCAAGGGGGTTTACCTTAAGGGGGATACCTTCAAGGGGGATCCCTTTAAAGGGGGGGAAACCTTAAAGGGGGGATACCTTCAAGGGGGTCCCTTTAAAGGGGTTTTTACCTTCCTGCTACTGATGGCCACTTCACCTAAGTCTTAGTGAAATTTCTTGCTCTTCATGGATCAAATTTAAAGTTTATTTCCCACATAAATATAACAATTGTTGTAACTTATGCTAGCTTTAATTATTTTGTTCCAATTTGTTCTTCAGTGCAGAAAGTAGAGGGCAAGAAACCTCTCGTGAGAGAGAGAGAGGAGAGGAGAGAGAGAGAAAAGAGAAGGAGAGAGAGGAGAGGAGAGAGAGCTGATTAGTAAGAGATTTTAGCTTGTAAATAAATTTAGGGAACCTTCAGCTAACCTTGCCAAAACCCCCTTGTAAAAGAATAAGGAGAGAGGAGTGAGAGTGAGGAGAGAGAGAGAGAGAGAGAGAGAGAGAGAGAGAGAGAGAGAGAGAGCAGAGAGAGAGAGAGAGAGAAGAGAGAGAGATGAGAGAGGAGAGAAGAGATAATCCTTGAGACAATAATCTCAAGACAAATGACAGAGTTTTTTGACTATCACTCACTACTTTGTGATCGTCAATATGGCTTCAGGAAAGGTTACTCTGCTGCTGATCTGTTGTTAAACCTCTCCACTAAGTGGCACCAGTCACTGGATGAATCCAAAGTCAGCTGTGTGGTAGCACTGGACATTGCTGGCGCTTTCGACCGGGTGTGACACCAGGGCCTCTTAGCAAAACTGCAAGCTCTGAGAATTGCAGGGTCTACGCTATGTCTCCTCAGTGATTACCTTCATGGTAGATCTCTAAGGGTAGTTCTCAATGGAACAGAATCAGCAAGACATCCTATGGGGGCAAGTGTTCCACAAGGAAGTGTTCTGGGACCATTGTTATGGAATGTCTACTTCAATGACCTTCTTCATCTCATCCCAGAATCCCATGCATATGCAGACGACTGCACACTGACATTCACTTATCCAAGAGAAGAAATGCCAGCTGCCCTAAGCTACATCAATCACCAGCTCAGAACTATAGCAGCTTGGGGAAATAGATGGCAAGTAACATTTGCACCTGAGAAAACACAAATGATGATGATCTCTAGGTACCAAGATGGTAATGCCGGTGCAGTAGTAAGGATGAATGGGAGGGTGTTGGCACCTGGGGAAGAAGTTGATATCCTTGGGGTGAAATTTGACTCCAAACTGACCATGAAAAACCATACAGCACTTTGCTGTATCTCGCATCTGCTTGACAGCAGGAGTTGCAAGATTCTGTACGAGGCACAAGTACGCTCACACCTTGAGTATGCTCCACTTTCTTGGTTCGCCTGCCCTCCCCCCCATCCCTCTCATCTGCGACTACTTGACAGAGTAGAGAACAGAGCAAGACGCCTCATCTCTCGCCTGGACCAATCCTGGATAGATCTGTCATTTCAGCAAAGCCTTCAACACAGGAGGGACGTGGGTGGCCTTACTGTTATGTGCAAGGCCAATATTGTAAAAGTACCACACTTGGATCCACTTCGAGGACAGCGTGAAACAAGCTTTTATGCCACAAGACTGGCAGAAAGCAGCAACTTCACTCTGGCTGTACCCTTCTCCAGAACATCACTCCATCTGAGATCATTTATTCCCAGGATGACTCAAGGCTGGAACACATTCCTACAGCATAATGATGTCAATGAGATGAAGTCAGTTGATCAGATGAAAATGCTGGCCCACAGATGGCTCCAACTTCATCCTGTTCCCTACTTATATGTTTCATATCAACAAAAATGCTTTCAAATGAGCTGATGTAGGTAACAGCTCTTAGCTTGTCAATAAAGTTAGGAATCCTTAACCTGTAAATAGCTTGTCAATAAAGCTAGGGATTCTTAACCTAACCTTGTCAAACCCTGTGTAAAAGAGAGAGAGAGAGAGAGAGAGAGAGAGAGAGAGAGAGAGAGAGAAGGCAATATGACCACGATTGTGTGAAATCTATTCATTGCAGAGGGGAGGAATGTTAATGGAGGAGAAGGCTGGCAGAGAGAAGAGCAATGAGAGGGGAATTAAAGGGAGGATGAGGGTAAAGGGGAGGTAAACCAGAGGGAGAGTCAAAAAGAAAGACAACAGGGAAGATCAGAGAGAATAAAAAGAGAGAGAGAAAGGAAAGGGAGAATAGGAGGAAAGTGGGATAGCGGGAGGGAAAGGAAGGTAAAAAAAAGAGTGGTAAAGAGAGGAGCGGGAGGTAAAACTGAGGAGAAGATAAGGGTAAAGGGAGAGGAGGGAGGGGAAATAATGGGAGGGGAGGAGATTGGTATGGTAACTGAGGGGAGTCCAGCATCGTAAATTACTTTCATGGAATTTGTTAAAAGAAAAAGGGCATTGTTTTACCCTTAACCAGTGTTCAATTTGTCTGAGGGGAAATGTCCCTGGATCTGAGGGGAATATACCTCAGAGGAAGAATTCCTCTAACAGAGGGGAATATTCCTCTATCAGAAGGGAATATCCCATAGATCGATTGGTAGTGCACTAATCTCACACAGTAAGGTCCGGGGAACGATCCCCAGTACGGCTGGAAACATTAGAACGTGTTTCCATAAGACACCTGCTGTCCCTGTTCACCCATCAGTAAAATAGGTACCTGGGTGTTAATCGACTGATGTGGGTCGCATCCTGGAGACAAAAATAACTTAATTTGCGGGAAATGCTCAGCATAACAAGCGGCTTTCTATATAGTACTATGTCGCTGGTGTCAGCTATGGTCTGTATACCTTGTACATGTACTTGAAAAATAAAGATTATTTTTAAAAAGCCATACCATGGGTGGGGTTTGAACCCGCGGTTATAGAAAACGGTGTATTGCGTCATTTGTTTATTGTGGTTGATGATGTCACACAACTGTGATGACGTCACACACCTTATCTGTGACGAGGTCACACAACTCACCTGACTGAGGGATGACGTCAGGATTCTCGTCTTGACGCAGGTTAGAATCCTTGAGGGAGGTCTCGGGGTTGGTCTTGGCGAGGCTACCCGCAGGCGCCCCCACGCCCGCACGCCCACGGACCCTGACGGCGACGCAGACGATCACCACCACCAACAGCGCTCCGGCGGCCACGCCCACCAGCACCGCCACCGTCGTGGTGTGGGCGCGATGACCCACCGTGGGCGGTGCTGGTCCCGGCGATGGCTTGACTGCAGCTTTAGGAGACAGTGATGTGAGAGATGAAGGAGAGAGAGAGAGAGAGAGAGAGAGAGAGAGAGAGAGAGAAGAGGAGAGAGAGAGAGAGAGAGAGAGGAGAGAGAGAGAGAACAACTTATAAACTAAGCCAAATCTCCAGTACTCTGCCAAGAGAGACGATCACCATTATATCGGCATCTCACACCATTGTAAACTTCACAACGTTGTTTCTTTGATTTCATTTTTGATGAAGAAAAATAATCTATGGAAGGAAAAACCGATGGGAATATTTCCATTTGATACATCACATACAATGATTTTTTTATAATAATTCAACGAAAAGTAAAAAAAAATCATACCAGCACATCTAAATAAATTAATAAAAAGGAATAAATTTTAATATATATATATATATATATATAATATATATATATATATATATATATATATTATATATATTATATAGCTGTGTCAATATTATTGTATAGGAACATATGTAAATAATTTACATACGCAGATATGGATTATCTATGAAAAGATGTATATAGTATCTATGTGCAAAGAAAGGTATAAAATACCGACAATATGAAAGTTAAGACACATGTGCAACATCTGGATATCTTTATTGTAGTAGACGTTTCGCCATCCAGTGGCTTTATCAATACAGATTCTAGGACATAATAGGAAGACAGTAGAACTATATACAAAAGATGAGGTAATCAGTCCCTCGGCCTTGGAGTTAGTGTTCACAGCATCGTGGTGGAGGAGAGTCTGGAGCAAAGACAAGAAGACTGGCGCTTTTTATAGGCGTCAGTGAATGGGACGGGCAGCAGACGAGGTCAGTCACTGGTAGGCGGGATTCCCCAGTGGAAGTAGGTCCTTCCCAAAGAGATGGGTTAGTTGCAGCAGCCGTGAAGAAGGTCTTGTAGATGTCCTCTGAACCAAGATTCCATGATGTTGCAGTGTCTGACAAGTTGTGCAAAGAAAGGTATAAAATACCGACAATATGAAAGTTAAGACACATGTGCAACATCTGGATATCTTTATTGTAGTAGACGTTTCGCCATCCAGTGGCTTTATCAATACAGATTCTAGGACATAATAGGAAGACAGTAGAACTATATACAAAAGATGAGGTAATCAGTCCCTCGGCCTTGGAGTTAGTGTTCACAGCATCGTGGTGGAGGAGAGTCTGGAGCAAAGACAAGAAGACCTGGCGCTTTTTATAGGCGTCAGTGAATGGGACGGGCAGCAGACGAGGTCAGTCACTGGTAGGCGGGATTCCCCAGTGGAAGTAGGTCCTTCCCAAAGAGATGGGTTAGTTGCAGCAGCCGTGAAGGACATCTACAAGACCTTCTTCACGGCTGCTGCAACTAACCCATCTCTTTGGGAAGGACCTACTTCCACTGGGGAATCCCGCCTACCAGTGACTGACCTCGTCTGCTGCCCGTCCCATTCACTGACGCCTATAAAAAGCGCCAGTCTTCTTGTCTTTGCTCCAGACTCTCCTCCACCACGATGCTGTGAACACTAACTCCAAGGCCGAGGGACTGATTACCTCATCTTTTGTATATAGTTCTACTGTCTTCCTATATGTCCTAGAATCTGTATTGATAAAGCCACTGGATGGCGAAACGTCTACTACAATAAAGATATCCAGATGTTGCACATGTGTCTTAACTTTCATATAGTATCTATGCAAATAAATAAGGAATAAAAAGAGAGACAAAGATGTATATGAGGATGAACGTGGTACAGCAAGATGACAACGATGAAGGTAGTAAAAAAAGAAACAGGAGAGAAGGAAGAGAATAGGAAAGAGCAAAGAAACAGACGAGGAGGAAGAGGAGAGGACGAAGGAGAGAGTCGAACTTACCCATGTAGTGAGGAGAGACTAACGTAAACAGACGCAAGAAGTGACTTGTGCCCCACACACACTTACCAGTATGTTTCTCAGGCAGGTGTGTGAGAGTTAGAGCTGAGAGTGCCACCTCCTCCCCTCGACCCTTGGCATTGAAGGAGTACACTCCCCCCTGCAGTGCCATCCCGGGCCTCCAGGCCCTCCACCGAGAACCTGGGCACCTGTGCCACGAAGGAAAGTGAAAGCTCAGTCATCCCTCGGAAGACACAGTGCCCACACCACCTAAACAGCGGTGCAGAGCAGAACGTTACGAGACGACGTTTTGGCTCAATGAGAGCGAAACATCTAAATAAATGCCTGACCTCTGACTTTTTTAGACAATGACAAATTTTCCTGCACATTTCATTGTATTTTTTTACTGTTTTCGTGTGAATAATAATAAAAATAATATTTTATTATTATTATTATTATTATTATTATTATTTTTATTATTATTATTATTATTATTTTTTATTATTATTTCTCGGTATATACACAGTAAGACCTTTCTATTAATTTCATTCTAGGGGTTAAAATGCTCTTCGACTCAATATTCTTCAACACAATGTTCTCCAACAGACTGTTCTCCAACACAGTGTTCTCCAACACAGTGTTCTCCAACACAGTGTTCTCCAACACAGTGTCTTCCAACACAGTGTTCTCCAACACATTTTTCTCCAACACAGGGTTCTCGAACACAGTGCTCTCCAACACAGTGTTCTCGAACACAGTGTTCTCCAACACAGTGTTCTCGAACACAGTGTTCTCCAACACAGTGTTTTCCAACAAAGAGTTCACCAACACAGTGTTCTCTTATTAAAACACAGGCTTTAATTCCACTATAATAACATTGCCACTTCAACGAACTTCAATTACCGAAAGAGCATCCAGACTATATATATAATTATGAATATTGTATGTGATCGGTAAACCCGTGTGCGTCATTTAGCGAATTGTGGAGGGTTCGATCCCCCGTTCCCCCAACTGCAACATGCACTCTCAACAACTGATTCTTGCACACTGACCAGCGAACGTTCGGAAAAGAACGTTGCCAGGCTTTTCTCCCGTTCCTCGCTGCCAGCAGTATAGATGGTGTTTATTTTTCATCTATGGGTTTATTTAGTTTATTCTAACATGATCCAACTTAACAAACTAACTTAAGTTAACTTAAAATATAAATATAACTTGTTTTGAGTTTAATTACTGGAAACGTAAATATACGTTGAGTACAACGTCAAGAAACGTACTTAAGAAATAAGCAAACAAAATTATATATCTACACTAGTGAAGGTGGTGACACCACTACACTAGTGTGGTGACACCACTACACTAGTGTGGTGACACCACTACAAATAGTGAAGGTGGGGACTACCCTTTTCACTAGTGTGGGTGACACCACTACACTAGTGTGGTGCACCACTACACTAGTGAAGGTGGTGACACCACTACACTAGTGTGGTGACACCACTACACTAGTGTGGTGACACCACTACACTAGTGAAGGTGGTGACACCACTACACTAGTGTGGTGACACCACTACACTAGTGTGGTGACACCACTACACTAGTGTGGTGACACCACTACACTAGTGAAGGTGGTGACACCACTACACTAGTGAAGGTGGTGACACCACTACATTAGTGTGGTGACACCACTACACTAGTTTCGGGACACCACTACACTAGTGCGGTGACACCACTACACTGTGTGGTGGGCACCACTACACTAGTGAAGGGGTGACACCACCTACACTAGTGTGGTGATACCACACCCCTAGTGAAGGTGGTGACACCACTACACTAGGTGTGGTGACACCACTACACTAGTGAGTGTGGTGACACCACTACACTAGTGAATGTGGTGACACCACTACACTAGTGAGTGTGGTGACACCACTACACTAGTGAGTGTGGTGACACCACTACACTAGTGAATGTGGTGACAAACCCCTATATATATATATAAAATATATATATATTTAAAATATATAAAAAATATATATAATATATATATTTATATATATATATATAATTTATATATTATTATATATATATAAACTCATTGAAGTAGTCTACTGGCCCATGCTAGGTCTACTGGCTCATGCTAGGTCTTCTGGCCCATGCTAGGTCTACTGGCCCATGCTAGGTCTACTGGCCTATGCTAGGTCTACTGGCCTATGCTAGGTAAAACTGAGATCAGTTGCAGTACCACTGTACTGGACATGGTTTCTGATAGTCTTGACTAGACTCACCGTGCTGGTGGAGTTGGCCAAAAGGCGACCATGACTCGACTCGTACAGCTCCAAGATGAAGGTCTGGGGAAGACCACCGTCAAAGCCTGCCATACAGACGACGTTCACTGCAGCCATGGACACGTGCACGGTGCAGTTGTGCACGGGGTCAGGGCGATCTGATGGAGATGGGCCGGTGTCAGGGTGATCTGATAGGATAGGCAATGTGCCAGGGAGATCTGATGGAATTGGCCTACATATAGATGCTGGTTACCCGTAATAAATAGGTTTATACAGGTCACATTAGGAAGCTTTAATGCCTGTGATTTGATACCGACGAAGAGCTTTCCTGAGAAGGTGCTGGAGTTCTCATCCCCTTCGTTAGGTCAGATCTAATTTTTAACAGGATTGTATAAACCATTACGCATTTTAGCACTTCTGATCTAAATTGTTTTTGCTATTCTTGATAATGCGAGAAAAAAACGAAAGCATGAAGCAATGTTTACATTTTTAGTAGACTAAAGCAAGAATTTTAATGTTTTAGTATATGGTAATTATCATAAAACAAAGAAACATAGTTTTTTTTCACGAGACTTAAATATCTTACGTCGTTTGCAAGACTTAGGAGGAAGCTCTCACCTGCAGGAAAGCGTGGAAGACCACAAGGGCGGCGCTGCACACCCACTGATTGAGTCCCCAGCAGAGAAGCGTTCCATAGTCGAGGTCAGTGTTGGGGCGTAGGTGACCGTGGAGCGCCCAAACCCCCCTGCTACTATGTGCTCCTGTTGAGGAGAAAAATCGGGGTTTAAACTTACGCTTCTCGTTGGGGGGAAGTCTCGGTTACTAGCGTCTCGTTGAGGGGGAAGTCTCGGTTCCCTAGCGTCTCGTTGAGGGAAGTTTTCCTTTTTACTAGCGTCTAGTTGAGGGGAAGTCTTGGTTACTTGCGTCTCGTTGAGGGGAAGTCTCAGTTACTAGCGTCTCGTTGAGGGGAAGTCTCCGTTACTAGCATCTCATTGGGGGAAGTCTCCGTTTAAAACTAGCGTCTCATTGAGGGGAAGTCTCCGTTACTAGCGTCTCATCGAGGGGAAGTTTCCGTTACTAGCGTCTCGTTGAGGGGAAGTTTCCGTTACTAGCGTCTCATTGAGGGGAAGTTCCGTTACTAGCGTCTCATTGAGGGGAAGTTTCCGTTACTAGCGTCTCATTGAGGGGAAGTCTCCGTTACTAGCGTCTCATCGAGGGGAAGTTTCCGTTACTAGCGTCTCGTTGAGGGGAAGTTTCCGTTACTAGCGTCTCATTGAGGGGAAGTCTCCGTTACTAGCGTCTCATCGAGGGGAAGTTTCCGTTACTAGCGTCTCATTGAGGGGAAGTCTCCGTTACTACCCCCCGTTCATTGGGGGGGAATTTCTGTTAAATAGCGCCCCTACGGGGGGAAGTTTCGTTACTAGCGCTCATTGGGGGGAAGTTTCCGTTACTAGGTTCATCGGGGGAAAAGTCCCGTTACTGGTCTCTTTTGGGGAAGTTCGTTACAGCGTCTCTGGAGGGGAAATTTTCCCGTTTTATTTCTTCATTGGGGGAAAAATCCCCGTTATTTGCGTCTCTTGAGGGGAAGTCCCCGTTACTAGGCTCATCGAGGGGAAGTTTCCGTTACTAGCGTCTCATGGGGGGAAGTCTTTTACTAGCGTTCATTGGGGGAAAGTCTCCGTTACTGGGGTCTCTCGGGGGAATTTTCCGTTAAAGCTTTCCATCGAGGGGAAGTTTCCGTTTACTAGCGTCCCCCATCGGGGGAAGTCTCGGTTACTAGGTCTCGTTGAGGGGAAGTCTCCGTTTTCTAGGTTGTTGGGGGGAAAAGTCTCTTTACGGGTTTCCGTTGAGGGGAAGTCCCCCTTTCTAGGTCTCGTTGGGGGAAATTTTTCCGTTACTAGCGTTCTTTTGGGGGGAAGTTCATTACTACGTTCGTTGAGGGGAAGTCCGTTCTACTCTTTTGAGGGAAAATTCCGTTACTAGCGTCTCGTTGAGGGGAAATCCCCGTTACTACGTCTCGTTGAGGGGATGTTCATTTTCTAGCGTCTGTTGAGGGGAAGTCTCCGTTCTAGCGTCTCTTTGGGGAAGTCTCCGTTACTTTTCTGTTGGGGGTCGTTGGGGGGAATTTCGGTTCTAGGTTTTTGAGGGGAAGTCTGGGTTTTACTAGCGTCTCGTTGGGGGGGAAGTCTCCTTTATTTTGCGTTCGTTAGGGGAAGTCTCCGTTTTTAAGGGTCTCTTTGGGGGGTGTTGAGGGGGCTCCGTTCTTCGTCTTTGAGGGGTCTCGTTCTACGTTGTTGGGGGGAAATTTTCCGTTACTAGCGTCTCTTTGGGGGGAAAGTTTCTCATTTACTGGTCTCATCGGGGGGAAAGTCTCCTTTTCTAGCGTCTCGTTGGGGGAAGTCTCGGTTACTAGCATCTCGTTGAGGGGAAAGTCTCGGTTACTAGAGTCTCGTTGGGGGAAAGTCTGGGTTCTAGCTTTCGTTGAGGGGAATTTTTCGTTACTACGCTCGTTGGGGGGAAACCAGTTCTAGCGTCCCTGAGGGGGGAAGTCCCCTTTTTCTACGTCCGTTGAGGGGGTTCTCCTTTTAAAGCGTCCGTTGGGGGGATCTCGAAAACTAGCGTCTCGTTGAGGGGAAGTCTCCGTTACTAGGCCCCGTTGAGGGGAAGTCTCAGTTATACGTCTCGTTGAGGGGAAGTCTCCGTTACGCGCTCGTTGAGGGGAAGTTCGGTTAATAGATTCTTTGAGGAAATTTTTCCGTTACTGCTTTCCGTTGAGGAGAATTTTTCCGTTCTCGTCTCTTTGGGAAAATTTTTCCCCGTTCTAGCGTCTCGTTGAGGAGAAGCTCCGTTACTATTCTTTTGAGGAGGTTTTTCCGTTCTAGGTTGTTGGGGGGAAAGTTTTCCGTTACAGGTCTC